GGAGATGTCACTCCTGGCTCAGGGGTGCTGGGGAAAGTGAAAGAGAAAGTGTTAGTTGTTCAGTCGTGTCTGACTCTTTGTGACCCCATGGACTGTAGCCCACCAGGCTCCTCTGTGCATGGGATTCTCCAGGCAAGAATACTGGAGTAGGTAGCCATTCCCTTCTCCAGGGATCTTCCCGACCTAGGGATTGAATCTGCTTTACCTTCTGAGCCACCGGGGTGGTCCTGGCAGATTCTCAAAAGACCTGCCTCAAGCCCCTGCCTTTCCCCCTTTCTAAGTGGCCTCCAGGGAGCTCCAAATAAAGCTCCAGGCCAGGAAGGATGGGCAGGACTGCAGCTCGGTGGGTGTTGGGGAGGGGAAGGGGTCAGTGTCTCCAGGAGCAAGCCAAGGGTCCTGTCTCCCCGAAGCTCTGTTGCCCCACCTCTGTGTGGAAGGAGGCTGGTCAGGTCACTTGTAATGGTCCACTGGGGAAGTCCATGCTGCCTCCCTGGCCCCCCTCGTAGCCCCTGCAGTCGTCAGGGGTGCTGAGGGAAGTCACAGCTAGGCTCTGGGGTAAGGGCTCTGCAGAAAGTGCTGGACAAGAGAAATCTTCCTGACAGCCAATACGCATCTATACCCTGAGCAAGTGGCCTGAGCTCCGGGAACTCTCTCCCAGTGTGGGGCTCGATTCCCACAGCTCACCAGCCCGGCACCATCACGGGGGTGAGACTCGCTCTTGAACCAGGAATTCTCTGGCTCTCTTAGCCTTGGCCGCCAGACCAGTGTGGCCTGCAGAAGGCCCAGTTTCTTCCTGTGCAGAATGAGGGGTGCAGGGGCCTCCCTGGTGGCTCAGTGGTAAAGAATCCGCCTGCCAGTGCAGGAGACGCGGCTTCGATCCCTAGAGCCTCTGCTCCGCATCAAAAGAAGCCGCCGCAAGGAGAAGCCCAGGCACTGTAATAGAGTGTAGCCCATGCTCATTGCAGCTAGAGACAGCTCACTGCAACTAGAAAGGTGCAGCAATGAAGATCCAGCAGAACCAAAAATAGATAAATAAAATTATAACTATAAAAAGGGAGGACTGTGAGGGGCTGGAGGATGGGAACTGAAAATCCAGCTGCAGGACTTTGGTGTCTGAGGCTGCCGACTGCTCAGAGCAGCTTTCACTGTCCGGAGCAGCGTAGGCCTGGCCTCTTCCCCAGCAGGTGATCAGAACCCTTGGGAATGAGAATCTTTTCTCCTGGAGGCCGAGAGGGAATGTCCTTTGGAGACTGATGCATCGGAGGGCTGGCTCCTGCCTGCACTCAGGCTCACAAAGCCAGAGCCCCCTAAGGGAGCCGTGGGGAGAGGAGGCCCATCGCTCTGGGCTCGCTCTGTCCCTCCAGCATCCACATGATGTCTGGCAAAACGCAGGCACTCTGGAGCCCTTGATGACCGAGTGAAGGTGGCCCAGCATCCCGTGGTCAGGGTCGCGCCCCAGTCCAATGGCATTTCAGCAGGAAGCAGTGCGCCCAGGCTGCTCACTGTTCGATGGAAACCTGAGTGTTCTGTCTTCTCGTTTCCTTCTTGTTCCACTGGAGGGGCGCCAAGACCATAATAAAAACAATGATATAATCACAGCTAATATCGATGGAGCGCATTCTGTCATGATCTGCAGGATTTTGGCCTAATTCTTGAAATGTAGTCACTGGGAAGCAGTTTCCTGGGCTTGTTCTTCATCCCCCGGGGCTTTCTGCACCAATTCCTGGCATCTGTGTAGAAACACGTTTTCTCCTGTCGTGAAGATAATAAAAATATATTCACTCTTTCTGTTGGTCTCATCTGCAGTGACTGTTGTCTGCATGCTGCTGTAGATCAACTGGTATTTTATTGAGGGTTTTGTGGGTGATCTTTCTGGTCTCTGTGTGGTTGTCTGTATGGGATTTGTTCATGTGTGCTTTTGCCCGACATTTACTGGGCACCTGCTGTGTGCTGGTGATTCCGTGAAGAACAGCACAGTCTGTGCCTGTTTGTCCCAGGGCCTCAGGCAGTCCCTGGAGGCAGGAACCGTCTCTCAAAGTCCCTCTCTGCAGTGTCCTGTTAGCACTCAGAGCCTCCACCCCGGGACTGAAAGCTGGCCTGACAGGTGCTGCCAAAGAAATAGTTCTGAGGTCTTCCATTTCTCTATGGCACCCCACTGTGAAAGCACCCAAGCATATTCCCAGAAGTCATCTTACTGTCATTCCCTCCTGACAGTGACCTTGAGAAGTGGCTAGACATTTTAAAAAAAAATAATTTTATTTATATATGTATATTTTTGACTGTGCTGGGCTTTCTTCAGTTGCGGTGAGTGGGGGCTAATCTCTAATTGTGCTGCACGGGCTTCTCATTGCAGTGGCCTCTCTTATTGTGGAGCACAGGCTCTAGGTTGCTTGGGCTTCAGTAATTGAGTTCCTGGGCTCTAGAGCACAGAGTCAGTAGTTGTAGTGTACAGGCTGAGTTGCTCTGTGGCAGGTAGGACCTTCCTGGACCGGGGATTGAACCCGTGTCTCCTGCATTGGCAGGCGGATTCTTTACCCTGAGCCACCAGGGAAGCCCTAGATTGGTTTTTTTCTAGAGGAGGCCACTAAGCCTCAGAGGGCTGGTGACCCCCAGTGGGGCTGTCCTAAATGTCCTGAGACTCATTTATTCCGCACATGTTAGAGGCATCTCCGGGCCAACCTGCTCAGGCTCTGTGAATGCAGGAATGAAGAAAAATCGAAGAGCTTATAATTTTGGTCGTGGTGGGGGAACAGACAATAAACAATTAAAACCTGTAGTGACAAATGTTATGGAGAAGAGCGAGATAGGGAAGGGGGTGAGAGAATGGGGTGGGAGCAGGTATTATGGGTTAAACAGGTTGCTTAGGGAAGGTCTTATTAAGGAGGTGACGGTCTGGCAGAGAGGGGAGAAGAGATGCGCGAGTGCTGGGGAGATGTGGGGGAGGTGGGGCCCAGGGCCCAGGGAGCAGGCTGTGCAAAGGCCCTGAGGTAGGAGTGTGAGAGGCGTGTTGCAGCCCAGTAGGGCTGGAGTGAAGCAAGCGAGGGAAAGGTCAGGGGACTCAGACCCCACAGGCCTTTTAATTTTTATTGGCATTTACTTGCTTTACAGTATTGTGTTGGTACTCCATCTTCTGAGCAATGCTTATTTTACTCATCTATTTATTTGTCTGTGCCAGATCTTAGTTGCGGCATGTGGGATCTAGTTCCCGGACAAGGGATCGAACTCCAGCCGCCTACATTAGGAGCACAGAGTCTTAGCCACTGGACCAACCAGGGAAGTCCCCCCACAGGGTCTTGAAGTCCATTCTGAGGGCCATAGCTTTTTTGATGGGCGAGGCAGGTGCCATTGGAGGAGTTAGACCAAGCAGACAGACTTGCCTTTCATTCCAGAAGGACCGCGTGGTTGCTGTGTGGTCAGCTGAGTGGGCAGTGGCAGGCACAGTAGTGACTGCCGTCTACCAAGCATGTGTTGTGTGCCTGGCCTGGGCAGACCCCTTGCACGCATGCCTTGCTTGATCCTCTCGCCGACAGTTACCCACATCTTCCCGAGGAGGACACCGAGGCTCAGCTGCTGGAGCGGCTGCCTGCTCTGGTCAGTTTGAGTCCAAAGCTTGCGCTCTTGACTGTGGTCCAGTTTTCAGGGGCGAAGGGACAGACTGTTTGGGATGACGGGTGCAAACATCTGATGTGCGGGTCAGGCTGCCCTGTGTCCAATCTCAGGCCACTTTCAGGTGTTGAGCTGGCCATGAAGGAAGGGGTGAGAGGCTGTTTGCTGTGGTCGGCAGATTGCTTCCAGGTGAGGGACTAGAGAGTGGAGTCTGTGCCCCGACTCCAGACAGCAGCCTCTCCGGCCCTTGAGGGCCCTGTGTCTTGTGTTTGGCGTGTTAGACAAGCCCAATGACTTAGAGGCCTGGGCTTTCTGCTACCGATCGGGGCTCAACCTGAGGCCTCTGCAGATGGTGCCCCCTCCCTGGAGACAGAACCTCCTTCTCTTTCTGAGTGAGTCTCGGCCAAAGTGCCCTCTATTTTATCCATCCCTGTCTTCTGAGTAGTTCAGATCACTTTCAGAATGTCACTTCCATAATCCTCCTATTTATTGCTCCCAAAGGAAGTGAGGGGAATTTTTTCTTGTCTTTAAAGAGAATGTCAGAGAATGAGGCTGGGGGGGGCTGGGGAGGAGAGTGGGGGAGGGAACCCAGAGGCCCAGGCTGGGTGCAGCTGACCTCGAGGTGGGCGGGGAGGGCTGAGGTGAGCTGGGTGGGAAATGGCGGGGGCTGCTCCTTTTGCATTTACTGCGCGTTTTGGTGTCTGCACCTGGAGGAGGGCCCTGTGCTTCCCTAGCGGCGTCTTGGGGACCCAGCTTCTGGTCTTTGCACAAGATCCCTTGCACACACATCTCCTGTTCTCACACATTCCCTCTACTCTCCTCCCTTGCACACTAACATGTAGTATGCATACAGATGCTTGCACATGTGCTTTCCTCTGTGCTGGTTCACACTTATGCTAACTCATGCAGACCCATGTGGTCTGCACATGCCCATGTGTTTCCTCGAATGCACACGTAGCTTCCCATGCACGCACCGCCCACAGTGCCCGTCAGAGGCAGGACCCCGGCTGCAGGTGGCCTGGCAGCCGGGCTTGTGGCAGCAGCGGGGGGGACCCCACAGCATCAGGCCCTTGCCCTCCCCACCCCGTGCCTTGGTTCACCTGGCGTAGACGGGGGGACCCCTCAGCTGGGAGGGCTGTGCCTGTGACGAGTAACGTGTCCTGTAGAATCAGCTGCGGGGGGAGGGGACTGGCCGTGGGAAGCGGGGGGACTCTGAAAGGGGAGGAGGCGGCCCCTCTGCTGGGCTCCCCTGCGTGCGCCACCCCCCCTCCGCACCTTGAACTTACACCATCAGCAGAGCCAGGCCTTGGGGGGCCGGGGAGGAGGGCGCGCTGCTCAGTGCTGTTTTGGGACCGTTTGGGGGAAGGAAAGGCTCCTTGTTGGCTGCTCAGATTCTAGCGATTCCCAGCCTTGGAAGCCAAGCAGGTGGGTCCCTGACTAGTTTCTATTTCAGAACCGACACCACTGCCGAGCACGGCATCGTCACGGGCCATGGCAATCCAGTTAGACTTGGCGCCTCCTTGGGGCGGGCGTCGGGGAGGGAGGCCCCCTCCCTGTGCTGGGGGGCCCAGGCTGTGCTCCTCCTGGGCTGCTTCTTCCCACCTGGAAATCCAGCAGGCGAACATCCTCATGAGAACGTGCGGGCGGAGGCCTGGAGACCGGCGTGGATTCCTGGCTGGCTTTGCTAACCAGCCAGGTGACTGGTCTCGGGGCCTGGATCTTTCTGAGTCTCGAAGCTCTGGTTCTCACAGGTGGGGGTGAGGAGAGAGGGCCTCCCTGGACCAGCCCAGCCCCAGGCCCAGGTCCCCTCCCTCCAGGGCCTCTATGTGCTGGTTGTAAGGTCTGGCTACCCCTTTGTAGCGTCCTGGTGGCCTGTGCCCCGTGGGGCTGCCAGACTGCTCCAGGGACCCTTGGGTCACACCCAGAGCCAGTCTACGGCCTCAGTGTTCCTGTTCTTCCTGCTCAGATTGGTTGCAGCTATCGACATGTATCACCTTGTCCCAGAAATGATGATTAAAAAACCCCACATACCTGGTTAAGATCATCAGTCCTACTTGGGCATGAGTTCGTTCATTCCTGCTTGGGTTTCACTGCCAACTAGAACTCTTGTCTGTGCTCAGCAGGTTGATGAGTTGTGGAGGGGCCCTCCCCCAGTTCGTGTCTTTGCTGTCTGGACAGTGCAGTCCCCCAGGAGTCCATTTGGGTTTCCTTTTCTTCACTAAGCGACCTTTGCCTCTCTCTTCTTGGGTCCCCCGCTGCAGGTGACCTGCAGGAGAATGTGTGACAGTCATTTCCCCCAGTTCGATCCCTGTAGTTCTGCCCAGAGCACCTCGTGCAGAGACACAGCCTCAGCGCTGGAGTCTAGGGTGTGGGCCGTGGTAATCTGGCACTGACATCATGCAGAAAACACACTGCAGGCAATGCACCAACTGCATCGGAGGTGCTCTGAACCTTCACTGGCCACATGGATCTGAAAAAAGCATTCCTTCCACGCTCACGTGTTACTGATGCTGGCTTTTTTTATGTGCAAAGCACTGCTTAATTTTGGGCTTCCCAGGTGGTGCTAGTGGTAAAGAATCTGCCTGTAATGCAGGAATCTTGGGTTTGATCCCTGGTCGGGGAAGACCCCCTGGAGAAGGAAATGGCAATGCATTCCAGTGTTCTTGCCTGGGAAATCCCATAAACAGAGGAGCCTGGCAGGCTATAGTCCATGAGGTCGCAAAGAGTCGGACATGGCTGAGCACACATGTACTTCCTTTTGCCTAAGTTCCAGGATCTATGTCTGGAAGGCTAATGTCACTCCAGTTTTAATCTGTGGTGGGTAACACAGTTTTTCTTCCTGAAATCTTTAGTGCTGTGCGTGTTAACGTCTCCTATCTGGCTGCTGTTTTGAACTTTCACAAATGACTCTCCTCAGTGTGGATGGGTGTCTATCCAGGCACCCAGGAACCTTTCGATCTTGAAACACTCGTTATTTTAGTTCTGAGAAATTATCTTGAATAATTTCATTGATTTCCTCTGGAACTTCTAGAAGTTGGATATTGAATTTCCTGGATTTAGTCCTAAAATTTTACTGTCTTTCTCTTATCAGCCCCCTGCCCTGGGGGATTTCTTCAGCTTTATCTTGTAGACTTCCGTTGAGGATTTCACGTTCATTAGCATATTTTTAATATCTAGAAAGTCTCCTGTTTTCTAAATAGACCTTTTCTGTTTTTATAGCCTCTTGTCTTGTTTTCATGGATGCAACCTTTCCTCTTTTACTCTGAAGCTGTTAATGATAGTTTTATTCTGGGACAGAGGATTCTTCCTCATCATTTTTTAAAAAATTTTATTTTTATTCAGAAATGTTTTATTGGAGTATAGTTGATTTTCAATGCTGTGTTAGTTTCAGATATACAGCAAAGTGAATCAGTTATATATGTGCCTACCCTTCAGGACATTTATACCTTATTGTCGTTTAGTCACCGAGTCGTGTCCAATTCTTTGCCACCCCATGGACTGTAGCCTGCCAGGCTCCTCTGTCCATGGGATTCTCCAGGTAAGAATACTGGAATGCATTGCCATTTCCTCCTCCAGGGGATCTTCTCAACCCAGGGATCGAACTTGGGTCTTCTGTATTGACAGGCAGATTCTTTACCATCTGAGCCACCTGGGAAGCCTGTTTATTCCTGAACAAGTCTTTTTATTCTTATATCACGGGGTGTCAGGGCCTCGGAGGGGATGCACTGTTCTCTGAGAGCTTAGCCAGAGCAGAGTGGCTGTGTTTCATTGCTCCCATTTGTCATTTCTCACAAACCAGTGTGCTCAGCCCTTGTGAGGAAGGAATGAAAGATCATTTCATCATGCGTGTCCGTTGCAAGACCCCAGTACCTGGAACTGGGCCGGGTTTATTTGAGATTCTCATAATCACTGGCTGAGTGAATGAGTGAGCAAATGCAGGAGCTGCAGGCAGACTTGGTGACAGAAGTGGGAACCGGGGACTTCCTGGCGGTCCAGTGGGTAGGACTCTGCGATTCCACTGCAGGGGACACGAGTTCCAGCCCTGGCCGGAGCGCTAAGATCCTGCATGTCACGTGGTAATGCCAAAAACCAACAAAACCCGCGCAAACCACCCCCCGCCCAAACAAAAACGAACCAACCAAACAAGGAAACAGGAGCACAGTTCCAGCAGGTTCCAGTCTGCTCTGAGATGCCAGCCTCTCGCTGTGGCTCCAGGCCTGTTGACTGTAGAACTAACTCGTCGTGGCTGGTGAGGGGGACTCAGTGATCGCTTTCCTCCTTTGGAGTGTTTCTCCAGCTGCAGTGAGCGTGGGTACCCCTGTGATTTTGAAAGGTGAATGAGACGAGTAGGAATAAGCATGAAGCGTCAACGTGGGCACAGTGTCCCCACCTCACCTCACCTCTGTTTCTCATTCTTTAAAACAAGTAGTTGGACCGGGTGTAGCTAAGGTTTCATCCAAGCGCTGGCTCTGCGAGTCCACCTTTGTCCTCTCTTGTTTGTATTACGACAGTGTAACTGCTTGTGCAAAAGACCTGCCCCCACCTCCTCTTCTGCTTTTTGACCTAGAATGCCTTTCACCCTCTCTTCTGCATCCTTTCAGGCCTTCAGATCTGCATGCTCCCATCACGAGGGCTCCCCAGCTGCTCCAGGACACCCTGGCCCCCTTCCCCCAGCCTACTCAGGCATTTTCACTCTAGAGCAGGGTATAGAGGAGGGGGCAGAGCCCTGGGAGTCCGATAATGCTGGTTTGAATTTTAATTCTGTGGCTTACTGTGTGACCTTGGACTGCTTACCTAGCCTCTCTGAGCTTCTGTTTCCTCATCTGTCCAGGTGGAATTTGTAATAAAAGTTATCACTATCTCATGAGGCTTATATGAGAATTAAACGAGATAGGTTTAAAAATTCCCCCTTTAACTTGTGACTCAAAATGGATCTGTGACTCAAGAGGATAAAAATAAGAATAATCACCAACATGTATATGCATTTCCTTATTTGCCATGAAGGAGTTACGTTTGTTATTTTTGTTTTACAAAGCAGGAGACCAAACCGCAAAGAAATAGCTTGCTCAAGTTTGCAAATCAAGGACATTTCACCCTTAAGTTTTCTTTTAAGGGTTTGGTGTTTGTATTTATTCCACAGATTTCTTTTTTTTTATGAGAGCCAACTCTACATCAGGTAATGACTGGGAATACAGCAGTGAAAAAACTAAAGTTCTTGTCCTCAGATTCTAGTGTAAGAGCTGGTGGGTGAGCAAGCAAATGCTTGTATAACAGGTAGCGTTAATTGCTGGGGAGAAAATTGAGCAAGGTAAGCGCTTCAGGAATGTCTGGGTGTTAGAGGGATGAGGAAGGGGGCATGGGGAGGGAAGAAGGGGAGAGAAGGGAAGGAGGAGGGGAGAGGGAGCGGGGAGGGAGGAGAATGACTCTGTGGAGCCCAGACCCTCGTGCTGCCCTGCCCTCCCTGCCCTCTGCTGGGCGCTCCTCCTCAGTGACCTTCTTCTGGCCCCTCAGGACCTTCCCAGGGCCTTGCACCTCCTGCTCCTCCTGGCCTCACGGCCAGCTCTTCCCAGGGAAGTCTGTCCACAGCTTGGCCAGGTCACCCCCTTGCTCTGGGCTCACTGCACACACTCAGCTTGTGGTCCTCAGGGCCCAGCTGTCTGGCTGTCGGGGCCGTGGACAGTCAAGGACAGTGCCCCTGACTGTGATGTTCATCTCTTCTTTCCCCTACTTCTCCAGCATCTAGCGCAGAGGCTGGTATATTTTATCTGTAAAGGACCTGATTGTAAACATTTTAGGCTCTGCAGACCATCCAGTCTTTGCTGTAGCTACTCATCTCTGCCCTGTAGCTCAAAGACAAAACGTACACCAATGAGTGTGGCTGCGTTCCAGTAAAATTTATGTATGGATGTTGAAATCTGAATTTCATATGATTTCTGCATGTCGGGAAATATTATCCTGCTTTGGATTTTTTTTTGCAACTTCATAAAAATGCAAAAACCATTCTTTGTTTGCAAGCTGTACAAAAACAGGCGATGGCTGGATTCAGTCTGTGGGCTGCAGTTTATTGACCTCAAATGTAGCCCGATGTATCGTGTAGCGTAGGGTCTCAATATATGTTTGTTGAGTGACTGAATGATAGATGTTTGTTGATGCCTGGTGTAGTGTGGATTCTCGATAAATATTTGTTGAGTGGCTGAATGAGATGTTTGGTGAATGCCTGAATGACATCCTGGCCATGGGCAGTAGGTAGTGAGCTTGTGAGCTGCTGCTTTCCCTCTATTAACATCATGATTTTGACCCCTTCGCAGGTTCCTTGTAATCCCTTAAAATTAAGGAAGATAGGCAACTGGTTCTTTTTTTAAAAAAGCAGCTTTACTGTGGTATAATTTGGTACCATCTATTTAAAATTCACCCATTTAAAGTATACAGTTCAGTAGTTTTCAGCACATTCTCCGTTGTGTGACCCTCATCACTATCAATTCTAGAACATTTTGTCACCTCTCCCCCCAGAATAAGTGCTGTCCCCATCAGCTTCTCTCCTCTTCCTCCAATTTCCATCCCCTCCCCTGCCCTAGACAATCATTAATGTACTTTCTGTCTCTATAGTGTTGCCTATTCTGGATGTTTCATG